AAGAGAAATGAACAGACAGGCCAGTAGCCTGTGAGACACATGAGCCAGTGGACAGTGGAGAGGGAATGGGAGCATCAGAGAGGTATTCAGTATTGATGAGGCATTCAATATTCGTGATATATTCAATATTCATGAGACATTCAGTATTCATGAGGTCAGACAAAATTATCCACCCGTTCTTGACGTCTATTTTGGCCCTACTGTTTTATGCCTGGGACAAGCAGATAAAAGACTTAATTCATTTAATCTATTAGTTAGTCAAATTCTCAGTTGAGTCCATTTTAACATCTTGCTAGTTCCCTTATTAACAGATTTTATAAAGATTAACATAAAATCTTTGACCTTTGTCCATTAGAAAAGTAATGGAGATTCCTATCTCCACTCCAGTAATACAGAAACCTAGACACAGTCTTATACACTTTGGTTTCCATGTCGCCTTGGCCTCATCATGTTGATATTGCCCAGACTAAATTCTGGGTTTTTAAAGATGTGTGTTGTTTTTCTTTTTTTTTCTTTTTTTGAGACAGAGTCTCATTCTGTCCCCCAGACTGGTGTACAGTGGTGTGATCTTGGCTCACTGCAATCTCCACCTCCCAGGTTCAAGCGATTCTTGTGCAACCTCCTGAGTATCTGGGATTACAGGCACATGCCACCATGCCTGGCTAATTTTTTGTGTTTTTAGTAGAGATGGGGTTTCGCCATGTTGGCCAGGCTAGTCTCAAACTCCTGAACTCAGGCAATCTATCTACCTTAGCCTCCCAAAGTGCTAGGATTATAGGCGTGACGCATCATGTCCAGCCTGACTTTAGCTTTTTAAGAACCACCAGAGACTTACCAAAGTACTGATTTTTATGTTGTAATCCTCTTTTTTTTTTTTTTTTTTTTTTTGAGACGGAGTTTTGCTCTTGTTACCCAGGCTGGAGTGCAATGGCGCGATCTCGGCTCACCGCAACCTCCGCCTCCTGGGTTCAGGCAATTCTCCTGCCTCAGCCTCCTGAGTAGCTGGGATTACAGGCACGCGCCACCATGCCCAGCTAATTTTTTGTATTTTAGTAGAGACGGGGTTTCACCGTGTTGACCAGGATGGTCTCGATCTCTTGACCTCGTGATCCACCCGCCTCGGCCTCCCAAAGTGCTGGGATTACAGGCTTGAGCCACCGCGCCCGGCTTATGTTGTAATCCTCTTATAAAGACTTCCTAAATTTTGTTTCTCAATGTAAGCATGTCATGCAAACCTGCTTTCCAGGTGGCAAAGCTCTGAAACATGGTATGCCTGGAAACTTTTAAAATTAATTCAGTACCTATTTATTATATGTCTGCAACATGGCAGGCTTGTGGCAAGTGAATAGTCATGAACAAATTAGCTCCCACCAACTCTCAGCCTCTCACCAGCGCAGGGCCTTTGCACTGACTTGATCTGTTCCCAAGGACATCTGGAACCCAGTGGTGTGCTTGTTAATGCTAAACAGGCATTTCAAATGCTAAAAACACATTTCAAATGACTCTCTAAGGAAGTAAATGATTGCAATTTCAAAACTTCTTAATATTTTCCTTATTTTCCTTAATTTGGACAATTTACATTTTATAGCATTAAAAGTTGTTGCTTTTGTGTGAAAAAAATCCCATGAACAGGGTACCAAAGAAACAGCATTTTAAAAAGCCTATGCTAGTACTTTTTAAATCTTCTTATGAAAATGTGAAAACATAAAGTTAGAGAGAACAGTGTAATGAATTCCTGTGTACCAGCTCCAACAGTGACCAACACTTGTCCAGTACCGCTTCATACAAATCTTCCTGTCATCTCTATTAATGGAACTCCCTGTCCATGTTTTAAGGCTGACTCAGACACATCCTTTCCTCTGGGATGCCTTCAGTTTGTGGGTGTGACAAAATCCATGAACATCATATTAGCCAGATATTAGCGCTTTTATCAGCCATATATTTTAGTATTTCCGTGTTTTCTTTTTTGTTGCCCTGTCCTTTTCCATGTGGTCTTCCAATGGTAAATTTATTCCATTACTTAGCTCATCGGTTGTGTTCACTCTTTCAAATTCTGCTTGGTTCTGTTTTCTGATCTCTTTTAGAATGTTTAATTCCTCGACTGTGTTCTAAAATACTAGGATCTATTCTAACAGAATCTCTATTCATTTTGAGCTTTAAATAGTTGTGCTCTTCAGATTTCTCATTTCTCCTTATGAGGTCATTTTCCCCTGGAGGCTTTGGCTGCCAGGCCAGGTCTGTGTGCACAGAAGGCAGGACCTCAGTGCCAGAGGGCATAGGGGGAGGTGGGCCAGCAGAAACGCACACTCACTCCTCATCCTTCAGGTCTGGCCTCACACTTTGTTCTTTTGCAGCTGTATCAGACAGACCAATCTCACCAGTCCTGGAGGGTGGGATGGGGGAGGCACCTGCTGGAGGCTGATTAGCTCCCACCAACTCTCAGCCTCTCACCAGCGCAAGGCCTTTGCACTGCCTTGATCTGTTCCCAAGGACATCTGGAACCTAGTGGTGTGCTTGTAAATGCTAAACAGGCTACCCTGTCCTAATGTATGCACATATATGTGTACATCAGCTTACTGTACATGCTACAGATAAAAAGGAGTGGCATGCAGTTTAAAAACGCGAATAAAATATACAACACTGTTGTGAATCCCACAAAGCCAGTTCTTATGGAATGCTTTCATTGAATCTTGCTGAGCCCTACATCTGAAGCCAACACAGGTTGCACTGGATGAATGAATGTGGTTCTGACAGGAATGCTGGGGATGTTTTCACTTAGGAGTCAGATGAAGGTGAAGCAGCAAGGTGAATGTCAGAGCTTCACTCGTTCAATGAATCAGTGACTTCTTTGCTTCAGCAATGTTTCCAGAGGCTGTGAGATGATATCTTCAATTTTCTGTGCCATTCACAATGCAAAAGCTACATTTTAAGTATGATCTGCATCTTCCTCCACCATTTTCTTGGTCTAGAGACAATCACAACAGTGAATCAAGCCCTGAGTCACGATGTCTGTGGGTATCACTGGTATGAAACCTCCCACCCAAATTGATTCCAAGCTACTGGTGTGAGTCCCCAGATGCAGCCCACCATTGTAGAGTATGCGCACAGGAAGAACACCGATTGTAGTAAAATGCAGCAAAAAGTAGGAAGGGATGAGTTTTGAGTATTTGTTACTTTTAATATAATTCTAAGTTTATAAAATGTAACTGTAAATAACAGCTGTGTTCACCTACTGGCTGGCCACATTCCTGGCGCTGCAGCCTCTGGCACACCAACGTCTGGTCCAGTGCTCCTTCTGGCTGACCATCTGCCTGGCAAGCCTTCTCTGTTAGGCCCACCCTGATCCCAGTACTTACCATTGCAACCAACTGCACTATCCTCACCTACTTTTCTTTTTTTTGGAGACGGAGCCTCGCCCTGTTGCCCAGACTGGAGTGCGATGGCACAATCTCGGCTCACTGCAACCTACACCCCCCAGGTTCAAATGATTCTCCTGCCTCAGCCTCTGAGTAGCTGGGATTACAGGCATCTGCCACCACATCCAGCTCGCTTTTGGTATCTTTAGTAGAGACAGTTTCACCATGTTGGCCAGGCTGGTCTCGAACTCCTGACCTGTGATCTGCCCACCTTGACCTCCCAAAGTGCTGGGATTACAGGCATGAGCCACAGCACCCAGCGCTCACCTGCTTTTTCTTTCTTCCCAGGCACATTCCCTGACACTGGCATCTGGTGTGTTTAATTTCATTTGCTTTCCTCCAGAACAGCAGCTATTTGGGGGACTCAGTCTCCGTTGTGTTCACCAACCTGTTCCAAGCAGCTGGAACAGTGCAGTCTGGGTTGGCCTTCATGACATGTGGACTGAGTAAACGCTCAAGAACCTCAATGCTTACAGTCATGCTCCAGGAGATTCATGAGACTATACAGTCTTGTAAAAAGCAAAACTTTCCTCTTCCTTGGTAAAATTCAGGACATTTCCCCAATTCCATGACAGAATACTGAGTCCGAATATTCCATCCAGTGTAGCACCTGAGGCAGCTCCCGGAGAATTGCTATCCTAAGGATTCACTTGTCAGTGAGAGGGTTCCCTCCATTCTTTTCTCTGAAGCTTGTTTTTGCTGCAACGTATTTTAACATTTTTATTGTGGGAAAAATGAAATAGTTTCAAAATTGATGCAAATGAGAAAACCAAGTTGTCTGTAATAGTGCTGTTTTTTATTTGTATGGTGCTTTCGACTTTTCAAAATATTTTCCTAGATTTTTCATTTAACTGTAGAAACATTAAATGGATATACTTTTAAAAAAGGAACACAAAGTCAAAACCACCCCAAATCCCATGTCCACAGACTACAGCCAGACTCCCTCCTGAGCCAGCCTGACCCGCCTCTGCCTGTACAGTACAGTACATGAAGCATATATACACTGCATTACAGCCATGACACAGCAATGCTGCTTTGCTGCCAACTTTCCACTTCATTGTGACTGTCCTTCCAGTGCTGTAATGAGAAACGGCATAGTTCCACGGGGCACTTAGCACCTGCTTTTTCCACTGCACCTCAGCACCCCTGTGTCACTGTTGCCTCTTATTGAGTACATAGATTCTTCCTGTGTTCTATCCACAAGTAAGGTGAGGGTAACGAGTAATGTGGGTGTGTATCATCATTTTGCATGCAGGGTGAGAGCGGGGCAGTTGCATACTTTTCCTCTACACCACCTTATATACAGGAGAGGTGCCAACATGCTCTATACCACCATATCTATGGGATAGGCGCCAACATGCTCTCCAGGAAGATGGTGAATTCAAGAATCTAATGGGGGGTGGGGAGGGGACTGAGGAGAGACTGTCCCAAGTTGGGGAAATCAGGTGAAGTCGGACCTGCAGCTCTCGGGGGGCACATAGACACCTTTCAGGTTATGCACGTGAGCATCCATCCCCGGGTCTGCTAGTGGAGTCAAGGGCAGAAATAATTTGAAAGGAAAAGAAAATCTCAGCAACAAAAGAGTAGTGAAACATTTTCTTTTTTATTGACTCAAATCCTTTGTCTGTATTTGACAGCGTCTCATGCTCAGTTCCGGCTGGTCTCAGTGCGAGAGGAAGCTCATGCAGTTGTAATGTGTGGTGTATACACAAATATACATACAGAGAACACTGAGGATTGCATCTTAGCAACAAGTTTCTTGGCCGAATTACATTCATAGAAAGTGTCCAGATTCTAAAATCAAATTAAAAGCATGTAACCTAAAGCCTGAAAAAGCAAACAGCTTTAGGGGCTTACTCCATGAACGTCCATAGACTGTGCTTTTCACGGCTCCATTCATGTTTAATGGCCCATCAGTTCCTCACACACCATCAGCTTATGCTGTGGCCAAAGTAAGTGTTCTTGGGGCTTGGTACTTCTCCCTTCAAACAGTAAACAAGAAAGTGCAGACGGTGCTGCCAGAGACAGGAGACTTTTCACAAGAGACTGAAAAAGCCAACACACCCTTACAACTAAAGGTTATGGTCAAGTCAGACCTGCCAGCCACCTCCACCGGTCCCTGGCACCCGGCGGGTCAGAGGCTTCTCTAATTCTATTCCCCGGCATCAAGTGAACACCAGAACTCACATGGAAGGCACTGAGTGACCCACCGGCCTTGGGCCTGGGTACACCCACTCCTCACCCAGGGAGATTGTCACACAACATGTTAAGGGGCAGGGACGCTGTAAACTGGACACACACGGTACACAAACACTCCGCCCTTTCCACTTACACAGCGTGGGGTTGATAAGAAGGAATCTTTTGAGCGAGTGTGTAATTTCACAGAATCTAGAGGTGGGAAAGATGGCCAATTTTCCTTCTTTTTCTGGATAAAGTTATGCCTGGGGCAGATGACCTGCTTCTGGGGTAAAGTATTTTAGAAGGAAAAAGAGCCACTGCCATGCTCTGAGACATGGGCAGATCCAGGTGTGCTGCTAATCCCATCCTCAGATCTGCGCACAATGTGAAGATGGAGCTGTCCGCTCCTCAGTGTATTTGTGTGAGATTACAGGGAGAGACACTGTTTTCACGAAGAAAGCAGCGGTTCCACAGCCTGGAAATAAATATAGTTATTTGAAAAAAAAATCCATAGATATCCATGCCTTGTGAGACAGTGGCCAGTACATTTTAAAGTAATTGCTTCTGATTACACAAAATCCTCCAAAACAGGAAAAGATGATGAAAAGTTAAATGAAGACGCAGAATCAGAACTGCAGTTCTTTGGCATCCCTTGCTGGGAAGAGATGGGCCTGGCGTATGACCGGGTGATGAGTGCGGAGGAGGGTGGTGACATCCATCTCGACCTTTCACTCCTCATGGCACAGAACACACCACCCACCTGAGACTTTTGCAGCACTGACCTCCCAACAGCAAGACTCTGTCCCTGGCAGAGCTGTACCTGAGTGGTCCCGAGGGACAGTGTGTTTGTGTAATTAATACTTCAGGTTTAGCTAACAAAACAAAACAGAAGCCCCCTCTTTCCCTACTTGTCAAAATGTCCTCAAAATGTAAGACTTTTCTTAAAAAAATCAAGTTCCTGCTTGTACCAAATTTCCTTCTAAGTCTCTAAAGCCCACATCAAGGACATGGGATGCAAAATGACACCTCAATGGAACAGCTAGAGTCTAATGCACAATGAGTGCTCTGAAGGGAAATTAAAGTGCTAAGTTTCCTCATCTGTCTCAGGGAGGAGCCAGCATTCTGTATTTTTTTTTTTCTGACTACAGATGTGCAGTCCTAGGAGCACTGCACAGCCTCTGGTCCCCTGGCCAGGAGAGTGGCTCCTGCACATCAGCTTCCTCCCCGCAGCTGCCCTGCCCAGGCCTCCCTGAACCCAGTTGCCTTGGCTACCTTCCTCCTGCCTGGAAGGCTTGGGGTGGGACATCCTGTGCCTGCCTGTCCACCCAGGAAAGGTGCACCTTAGGGTCTCAAGGCACCTGCTCAGGCCCCACAAGGTGAGGCCCTCACTTATTTGGGGTGGTACAGGAAGCAATCATGCTCATTTTAGCTATTTCCTGACAGAAGGAAAAAGCCAGACATACTGGGTAGTTTTGTATGTAAATGGAATATATTAACAGTAAACTTTGTAACCAAAATCCACATATTTTTAAAAACTAAGTCCATCTCCCAATCCCCATTAGAAAAAAGTACAATTTATCAAGACAAGAATAAAAACACATAGACTTACATGGTGTTTTACCTAGAATGTGCAAGAGCCTGCTTGGGGGAAGGCCAGCGAAGACCCCTTTCCTTCTGCAGGTATAGAAACCCCCACACAATCTGCCTAAACAGTACCCCACTGTTGTGGAGGGGCCTGCAATGCCCACTCTGACTGGTTCAGGGAGACAACTACCCTCTTCGGTAGAGGAGAAGGCTGGTGTGGGGCAGAAGTTCGTGCCTCTGAACCTGGTCGTGTCCTCAACAACGAGCTAAGCAGCACCCCTTCCTGCCATGCTGGGATGAGATCTGTGTGGACACACGCAGACAGGGCTCCTGACATCGGGAGGCGCACATCCCACCAAAGCCGTGGCGCTTCCCTTCTCAGGTCTGAGCTCCCCGGGCCTAGGGGGAGGAGGATGCCCCTCTGCCCCTGTTCTGGTTTCCTAGGCCCATCATGGACACACAGGCGTCATCACCCTGGACTTCGCTGTGGCAAATGTATGCTGTAGGGTGGAGTCTGCACCAATCTTTGCCCATGGCCCCAGGAGACCCACCTGAGCACCCTCCAGTGCCTTAGAGCTGGGCACTGCACTGGTGGGCAGAGCATTTCTCTTGGCTCCTCTTTCATCCTGAGCGGAGGCAACAAGGCAACTGGTGCAAATCTCTGAGCTGGGTGGAGGTGGTCTACACAGGGCCCTTGCCCGCCGCACTCCTGACCTCCTGGGCTGGCTCCCTCTACCGCGGGGCCGTCCTGTGCACTGTGGGTGCTAGGCAGCCCTGAGCACCCCTGTAGGGACCGTCAGCATTTGGTCTACACTATGCCAGCAGCACCTGGTCTCACCAGCTCTCACCTGGATGCTTTTTATTTTTCAAACATGTCTTTGATAAAGCTGGAAACAATAATTTTAAAACATGCCCTCTACGGCATTTTCCAGGAATGAATATCTACTGAAATACTTCTCCTTCCATCCTGTGAAGGTCTTTGGGCAGTCACTCACATCCATTCGACTCGGAGTAAGGAAGAGGGAACTTAGGCCGTGTATTGTGCAGCAGCCCTCCTGATTCCTTCTAGTCCATAAAAGTTAAATATCGTTTAAAAAACCTGAATTAATGGCCAGCCTGGGTTACTGGCCACGTTTTATCTGTGATTACTTAGAATAAAATGCGAAAAGTTTTCCATGATCTGATCCTACAACGAGTACAGAAGCTTCTAGAGGAGGCTGAGGGCTACAGGGTCCTGGGTCATGACTCTGCAGGACACACAGTCACCACTGTGGGACCCCATGTGCGTGACAGGGCCACGCTACATCATGCTGGGAGTCTGCTCCTCGGGGAGAGACTGTTAAAACCTAGTGTGTGAAACTAGCCACGGAGGTACCTATGGAGAAAAGAGACCTAAGTTTAGACAGACGTGTGGCAATTTCCTTTAGGTTACTACTTCCTACCTCTATTTCCCACCCTCCTCCATATATAGATGCTTTTTTGCAGTTAAAATAATGTGGCCTAAAAGTGACCTGACATAATTACTTCTTATTTTATAAACCACATTCCTAGCTCTGAATAAATTATTTATTCAAGAATTTCACACAAAGTAATTTCTATTTTCCTAAACTTAAGGAAGCCCTACTCAGTAGAACTCAATTTCTAAACGTAAACTGAGATTGAAAGCAGTCACTGGACGGTTCAGAAGGGGAAATACTGTGGCAGAGAGATGCCAGGTGGCGAGACCGGGCCCCAACACACCCCTGTCCCCTCCCCACACTGTGTACTGCCCCGGGTCTGATGTGAGATGCTGGGGACAACAGTGGACACCTGGTGGTCCTGTGTCCCCTACTCCCTCCCCAAGGTATGCACCTGCCCCCAGTTCAGATGTGAGGTTCTGGAGGACGACGCTGGATGCCCACAGCCCCCTGCACCCCACATCACGTCTGCCCAGGTCAGGGCGTGAGTGAGAACTGGTCCTGCTCAGTGGGCTTCTCCACCCAGGCCCCCAGCCCCGCCTTGATGAAGGCGGTGAACAGACGTGCCTTGGCAGCCTGGTACTCCTTTGCCGCCAGCTTGGACTCATGGTACATGTTGGGCTTGGTAATCTTGGAGCGTAGTAAGTGGGAGGGAACCTGTGAAGGGATAAAAAACAAATTCAACTGTGGAAGCAGTAAATGATGAAAATAACACCTAAGATGCCAGAAAAATGGCCTTTCGAACTGCATTGGCTTCTCAGGGGAAAGCAGCCCAGAGGAAGGCGCTTTCTGCCAAGGGAATGGCTTTACACACAACAAGGCGCGGCGTCTCCTAAGGGCTGAGTTATCATCACCAAGTTCCAGTCTCGCTGGTCAAACAGGCAGCTACAGACTCCCGACTTCCGAAGATGTGCTTCTGGAAACCACCAACAGTCGATTCAAGTTTCACTTTTAACTATGAGAAGCACCACTGATGTTATGTGTGTCTTATCACCCTGCTGATCTCAGAGGCCTTCCCTGCTGACTCCTTTCTGTGTGGACCTTGGACTTGCAGCAGCTGGCCCAGGTGCTGCCCCTGTGTGAACAGGACCCTCCTGGGCACTGTCACTTCCGGCTGTACCCCCCATGCCAGTGCACAATGCTGGTCTCAGAATAAACAGATGCTACCTACTTGATTGAAGAATAAATAAAAACTAGTAATATCCTGATTTACTATATAAGGTTTTATCGTGGGGAAAAAGGGGCTCCATAGCTAATTCAAAACTCTCATGGAGGGTTGTCAGAATCCAATCAATTTTTGTGTTGCTGAGGAGGGGACAGCAGGGTGAGTGGCCCTCCGTTTTGCACAATGACTTTCAATATCTGAGAGTAAGAGACATTTCCACCATGCACAGTGGTCTGGCAGGGAGTCTGACCCTGCAGCAGGGAGGAAAGAGCTGCCTTTGAGACGGCATTAAGGTTGGAGGAACGCTGCCACACTTCTAAGCTAAAACAAGCTGAAGGAATAAAAGGTTTCCCAATGATGGTTTTAGGAAGCTGTGCATGATGGCATGACGATGAAACAGTTTAAGGAACAGTAGGTGTGAGGACAGACAAGCTATTGGGGAGGTGGAGCCGGCGCATCGCGGTGAGGGCACCTCAGTACCTTGCCGTGCACACGCATCCAGCGACAGTACAACGCGTGCTTACACAGGCGGGACGCGCGGCCCAGCTCATCCTTCCCTGTCGTGGCGTTGATGACCTCAATAGCGGAGTCGCCTACCGTCCAGTTCACGCTGAAGTTGGGGGCCTTCCCTGGCTGCCGTGCTTCTGCATTGCTGATGCCTGAAACGGAAGACACAGGAAGGTAGTGTGAAGCCCGCATTCACTCCAGGGAAGGAGCAGCCAGGTGCAGCACACTCTGCTCAGACGTGGCCACAGACATGCGTGGTGGGGAATTCTGCCTGCCGAGGAATGTACGTAGACTTGAGTGTGCATCTGCCGTGGCCGTGCCTCACACCCTTCCACTGCCACCAGAACAGGAGTAGTGCTGAGAAAGCAGAACTGACCCATGGGTACGCACTTGTCTGGCAGGGCAGGTGGGCAGAAGGTTGACAGAAACCTGAAATGATGAGACGTCCTGCCAAGTGTGTTTTTGCTGACTCTGGTGCTGATGGTGCTAAGAACCCTAGCAGCCTGAGGGTGGATGGGTGGGAGTCACTTCTGCAACTAACGCAGGGTCCAATGAGGCTGAGCAGGTGGGGCTGCTCCCTACAGGGTCGCACCCATGTCTGGTGCTCCTGCCCTGCACATGCTCCCTGCCATGAGAGGCCAGGCATGTTCAGGTCACGTGGCTTTGCATGTGTGACACCCATGATGCAACAGGAAACTCCAATTGTTAACAAGTGTCTTGAAATGGTTCACAAGAGCCTTGAAAAAACAGAAAATGTGTACAATGAAAAAACTTCATGGATTTCAAAACTGTTTTGAAATAAACTTGTACTAACTTGCTGAAAGATGCCTGAACAGGATCTAGTTTGAGGCATAAGAAGATCAAGACGTCTGTTTGAAAAGAGCTCCTATCAGAGCTACATGACTTCTGCTAAAATTGAAGCAAGAACAAACATCAAACACGAGATAAAAATAGCTTTACCAAGCATTTTCAATCCTGAAGAAAATGCACACTTAAGAAAAAAAGGCTACCAAGAGGCAGATGGAGTCCAGTTAAAGCACAGGCCATGGCAACATTTTTGGGATATTCAAGGCATTTTGCTTGTTGAGTTCACTTGGAGGGCCAAGGAATGATAACATCTACTTATTATGAGAGTGTTTTGAGAAAGGCAGCCTAGCTTTAGTAGAAAAACCCCTGGGGAAGCTTCACCAGCATCCTTGGCCATGACAAAGCTCCTACTCACTCCTCTCATCAAAAAGGCCAACTTTGTGAGGGTTTTGATGGAAAATCATGAGGCATCCACCTGACGGTGGGTGCAAATCCACCTCATTTGGCTCCTTCTGCCTTCTTTTTGTTTCTTAATCTCAAATATTCTTTAAAGGGCACCATTTTTCTTCAGCTAATAATGTAAAAAGGCTGGCATTGACATGGTTAAATTCCCGACGTTCAGTTCTTCAGGGACAATCTAAATGGCTGGGATCAGCGCTTACAAAAATGTCTTGAATTTGATGTGCTTATGTTGAGAAATAAAGTTTATATCTTTTAAAAAAAATTTTTATCTTTTAACTTTATGAACTTTGGGAAATATCCTTGTATTTGTTTCCTTACTGTATTTAAACTGTCTCATCTTAACTAATCGCAGGCTAATTTTGCTGAGTTGAAAGTTTTTAAAGAAACACGGATAACTGGGAATCGAATACATGTATCTCCACTCATATACTGAGCTTGATAATTCATATCACATGGATGTTATAGGCCACCAAAATCAAAACTGATTTAGGATATGACTCTTTAGAACATGCTTAGAAGATGAGCGGACTCATATTCTGAAGCCAGACACTGAGTCATCAAGCCCACTGGCCATGACAGCACTTGGCACTCTCAGATGACTGAGCACAACTCCCTTCATGCCCTGTGGAGGCCACCTCCACCCCTGTCACCATGCTCATTTGCTTTCAATGACCATTCACCCTTCCCTTTGAGAGATATTAAAACCCAGATGACAATTTACTGCCAGAACAGTTTACTGTTCAAAGTAAGGAACCCAGGCAGGGTGTAGTAGATCCCATTAATTGAGAGTCAAGGGAAAGCAAGTCAGTCAGATTTCATAAGACAGAGTATCAGAAGCAAGAGAAATGAAGAGAGAGAGAGTGAACCCTGGAGATATGCAGAGGTTGGACTTGAATATCCTGTGGAGCACTGATCAGAGGGTGCATATTACTCAAGGCTGGGAAGAGAATCAGAGGGAAAAGTGCCTGACATTCACATGTAGAAGATACAGACAAAAAGATATAAAAAGACCTAAGCCAAACTTCTGGAGATGAAAACTGCAGTGTATTAGATAAAGAATACACTTGATGGGATTGAACCACAGAATAGAAACCACAGAAGAAAAGATTGGTGAACTTAAAGACATAGTTACAGAAACTATCAAAAATGAAACACAAAGAGAGAAAAGAGACTGAAAGAATAAAAGAACAGAAAATCAGTGATGTGGGGCAGGTTTAAGTAGACTGAAATATGTATACTTGGATTTCATGAAGGTAAGGAGAGAGAAGGGGGAAGAGAAAATATATCTAAAGAAAGATGAATAAAAACTTTCCAAATTTTATGAAACCAACAAACCCATGGATTAAAGAATTTCAGTAAATCCCAAGCACAAGAAACATGAATAAAACTATACCAAAACACAACAGAACAAATTGTTTAACACCAGTATTAAAGGAAAATCTTAAGCAAACCGAGAGGAAAAAAACACACAGAGAAATAAAGACAACACATTTCTCACTGGAAACAATTCAAACAAGAAGTCAGGGAAGCAATGTTTTTAATGCACTTAAAGGAGAAAACAAACCCTGCCATTCCCGCAGAAATATATTCACACAGCAAAATATACTTCAAAATGAAAGCAAAATACTTTACCAGATGTACCAAAGCTGAAATAATTCATCATCAGAAGACTTGTGAAACAGGGAATATAAAAAAGGAAGTCCTCCAGCCAGAAGAAAAAATGATACCAAAATGGAAATCTAGATCTATACAAAGGAATGAAGAGCCCTGGAAATGATAGCTACATGGATAAATACACAAGAGTTTTTTTCTTATTATTTAAATTCCTTTAAAAGATAATTATTAAAACAAAAATAATTATGTAATGTGGATTTTTTAAAAATATATGCAAAAGTGTCTGAAAACAATACCACAAAGGTTGGGAGTGAAAAAATGAGAGTAACCTGTTGTAAGGTTCTCTTACTATATGTGAAGTAGTATAATATCACTTGAAGGTAGATTGTGGTAAGTTAAGAATGCATACTGTAAACCCTAAAACAACCAGTAAATTAACAAAAGTTACAGCTCAAAAGTTAGGAAGGAGTCAGCATGGAATAATCAAACACACCCAATTAAGGCAAAAGCAGTAAGAAGATGAGGAAAAAGTGAACAAAGAACATATGAAACACGTAGAAAATAAGTAGCAAGATGAGATTCAAACCTAATAATATCAATAATCACAATAAATGTAAATGGTCTAAGTACCTCAGTGAAAAGCCAGAGACTGTCCATGGTGGGAGAGGGGAGCAAGATCCAAACATGCTGCCTATAAGAAATATACTTTTAATATAAAGTAGTTTAATATAAAGGGACAGAAATATACTGTGCTAACACTAATCAAAAGAAAGCTGAAGAGATTATATTAATCCCAAAGCAAATTTCAAAACAAACATGATTACCAGAAATAAAGAGGGTCATTTTATAATGATAAAGGAGGTCAGTTTATTAAAAGAAACCAACAGTCCCTAAATTTTTATGCATCTAATCACAGAGCTACAAATACAGGAAGTAAAAACTCTAAAAAAGGGGAAGAAATAGACAATGTACAATTATAACCAAGAGATTTTCAATCTTGTCTCTCAATAACTGATTGATCAAGTAGAAGTTCAATAAAAATATAAAAGAAAATAAATAATATAATCAAACAACTTGGCCTAATTAACATTTATGGGTCACTCTACCCCAAAGTGGCAGATTTACATTCTCAAGTTTTGTGAAACACATACAAAGACAGATCATATTCTAGTCCATAAAACCAAGTCTAAACAAATTTAAAAGGACTGAAGTCATTAAATGAAACTCAAAACCAACAACAGAAAGATCTCTGTAAAATTTCTAGTATTTTAAAACTAAATAGCAGACTTTTAAGTAACCCAAGGAACAAAGTACTTTAATATCATTGAAAATAAAAATACAACATATAATTTTTCAATGCTACAAAAGCAGTAAAAAGGGTCTTAAAACAATGATCTCAGCTAGCCCCTTAAAAACTACAAAAAGATGGGCAATTGAAATACCAGGTAAGCAGAAAAAAGGAAACAATTAAAATCAGAGTAAAAATTATTGAAATATAAAACAAAAGACAAAAATCACTGAACCTAAAAGTTGGCACTTAGAGATGAACAGAATTGATAAACTTCTAGCTAGACTGATCAGAAAAAACAAGAGAGGACACAAATCATCAATATATGGGATAAGATGATATCATTAGGGATACCACAGATATTAAAAGGAATAATCTGAACACTTATGCCAATACATGAGACAAATTAGATGAAATGAACAAAGTCCCTGAAAGACAAATTACTGAAGCTCACTCAAGAAAAAAGAAAAAAAAAAAACAGATAATATGAACAGTCCTAAATCTATTATAGAAAAATAATTTGTAGTTAGATATTTTCTCACAAAGCAAACTTCAGACCCAATGGCTTCACTGGTGAATTCAACCATACATTTAATGAAATAATACCAAATCCAAACAAACTCTTCCAGAAAACTGAAGAGAAAAAAAATGCATCTCAACTCATTTTATGCCTGACAAAGACATTAAACTAAAATTATAGACCAATATCCCTATAGACAAGTATACTATAAATGCAAAAATTCTAAAGAAAATTTTAGCAAATTGAATCCAACAATATATAAAAAGAATAATACATAATAGCCATATAAAGTTTATCCCAGGATGCAAGGTTGGTTTAATTGCTTTTTTTTTTTTTTAATGTCACCATTAGCAGACTGAAAAATGAGCCAAATGCTTATCTCATTTTTTGTTGCTGTTGTTTCAGATGGGGTCTCACTACATTGCCCAGGAAGGCCTCAAACTCCTGGGCTCAAGTGTTCC